GCTGGACAAAGCAGGGCCAAATCCTCTATTTAACCCAGCCTCATCAGTCATGCCCTAGGCTGCCAAAACATTAGGACAGTCGCTCAAAGGCGACCAAGTCGCTCTCGTCACAAGATGAATTAGTTATTTTGAACCTTCCTTATCCTAATGCATCAAATATCAGGATCTGAAAGCAGAGACTGCAAGATGCACCTTTTATTATCTCAACTTAATCACTAATGCATCAAAAAATTGTATCCCGAGCTTCCTACTTTCTGCTCATATATCACTAATCGCCCTGTTCAATATCTCAGTTTGGGTTGGATTCATTTTTCTTTTATTCAAACTAATCCCGCACCAAAGAGGGATTCAACACTCAAATATCTGAAATAACCCTTTTCAATCACAGAATCCTGGTTCCTTGTACATTAGTCTAATTTGCTACCTACTCAGAGCAATATGCAATCACTCCAACAACCAAAACAACTGGTAATGTCAAGCAAGGGAGCCACACATTTAGATCGTGTCTAAAAACCTACGACATTATTGCTTGTGCAAGGAGTATAAATACAGACAGATTTTTTTCCTATATTCAAATTGATGCAGCTTTGAGCAACATGGGTTAATTAAAATAAATCCATCTCATCTTTACTCATGGAAAACCAATCTACAAATTGAGGTCAATAAGTGTGGCATTTTTAGGATTCTTCATCAGAATAAAATAGAAATAACTGTAGACACTGAGATTAGTATTTGGAGCATGAAACAATTCAATTCATGTAACTGTATATACAAAAGTAAACAACTCATTACAGAACATGCACTTCTGTAACTGATGAAAAGCGCCTTCACTACATTTAGCCTCAAACCAGCTGATGCTGCAGAAAGCAAGGACATGTTGTAAAGACTGTTTTTATTTACATAAAATAGAACCCACTGTACCAACTTAAGCATGACAGTCAAGGGGTCTTCGTCATAATCCTATGTTGAAAATGGAAAATTTGGGGTCCCTAGATTCAAATACTATGGCAGGCAGGCAGGCAGGAAACCTTAATGACCCCAGTAACCCCCCTTAATTTTTAACACTGATAAGTCAGTAAAATCACAAGGGTTGGGTTAAAGTTGCAACAGGCTCTTACATGATGCAGAAATGTGCATCCAGTATGCACAAATGTATATAATGGACTCAGAAAAAAAAATATAGTGCAAGACTCAGGTTGCACAGTAACATTCATTGTAACAATTTTTCCACAAGAAATAAAAAGTTCCTGTAATTAAGGTAATTATCAAATCGTACAGTACAGTACAGTACAGTACAGTACAGTACAGTACAGTACAGTACAGTACAGTACAGTACAGTACAGTACATCATTTCATTACTTTACAGGTCCCTCACATTTCCTGTAAAGACCCTTCAAATTAATTATTGAGGGTCCCTTGGACTCCAGTTTTGTAAGTCAAGGTAAAACCCTGTTGCAAAGTATTCAGCATAATGATTGATATCAGAGTACTACTGGGACAGAAACCTAGAATAAACCTAGGTAGCAAATCTAAAGGATGCCATGAATTTTGAACACCGGACGGGAGGCTAAACTTGGTGATCAATTAAGATATGTACCAAGTGGCATAAAGCATACGACTCTCAACTGTGTCAGTAAAACATTCATTACTATCGTCTTTTCTATTACTCAAAATATGCCAACATTTCTGATAATCCAGCCAGAGTGTGACTACACAGCCATATATGAAGGATAACATGTATAGGTCATCTATATCTATCTTTCACTGCTATTCTAACCTCCTTGAGTTACAGCAGCAATGACAGATATTCTTTCAAAAGATTAAGATCAGTGAAGTAATGTTTAATGCCATAGATACTGACGATCAATATAAGCTTAAATCTGACTGACAACCAAACGTTCTGATAAAACCACTTGGATACCGATCTTTCATCATTATCTTCCCCCGAAATACTCCATTCATTGAGCATCAAATCCTGACAAATGGTACAGCATCAATATTACTTTTGTAGCACACAATTCATACATAACACAAACGCCAAGGTAGTATTACACACGCCCCACACATCCTCGGTGTTCTCTTGCAGTTCTGCTAACAAAGCTAGTCGAAGCGGTCGTTCCTCTCCCTATGGGCTGTACACGGGTCTGTTATTATTCCACTTACACCCTAGGGGCCAGCTTCGTACTGCCGCCCCAGCTCGCGAGATCCCGACAGGCTCGGAGACCTCCCTAAAGAGCCCATCCAGGACCCTAATCTTGCAGTACAAAAACTAATCCAGGCAAAATATGAGCTTTATTCAATTAAATGTCACACTAAGCTACATTAAAATATTTCATGTTGTCCCCCTGGATTTGAGTCTAGTTTAGAAAAGAGCTTTTGTTTGTAGTCTGGTGATTTTAAGTTGATTAAATGTGTCCTCATCATTGTCTGGAAAAACTCACAAAGTCATAAATTTTGCCTGGGGATTAGAGTTTTACTCGTTACTGGCGTGACGGGCCTGGCATTAAATACGTGTGATACCAGATACATCATAGACAGGGGTATTGAGAATCTACCAAGATAAAAGTGATCAGTAATGCTAGTGGGTGCCAGATTACCTCAGGATAACATGGCTTATTACAAGCAGAGAAATGTTGATGAGTCAATTCAATAACAAGCAGGATGACCAGGATGTACAATGGCTGGCTGGGATATAACCACTATAACACTAGCAAGGTAAACCAGCTTATCTCTGTAACAGGTAGACCAGACAGTGGCCTTACTGGTGTGTGATAATGGCCGGCAATTGATTCCAATTATCTGTTAGTCATTGGCTAGTTTGGTAATGGGCCTTCAGTATTATGTAGATAAAAGCCAGCGGGCTCATATACTAACAGGATGAAGGTGTGACAACAGGTATTATTTTAGATCATCAGAATTGTTGCAGGTTTTGAATTATTTATTTCAGGTCAGGGATGCTGTGTGTGGGTTGGAAGACCAGTGTAATATGATATACTTATTTAGCATGGTAAAAATGTCTCAAGCCATAAACGTTGATTTTATACAAGCTGAAATCATGGGGGTTTTTCCTGATGTTAGAGGACAGTCCCATGCAATGCTGAAGATGTAGACATTTCATATACATATATAATGTGTGAACAGTGATTAACCTTTGAAGATAAAAAATATGTAAATCTATTTTCAAAAATTCCCATTTTTCCTCAAATTATTAATTTGCTTTGCCTAAATCCTGAGCATCTCATGTTTTGATTGATAATGTCATTATAGTAACTCCAGGGAACATAGGGAGCCAAAATAATACATTGGTGAATTCTTATGTTGAAAACAACTGCAGTCTCAGTCTGTGATCTGGAAGATTGACTCACACTGCATACCGGGATATGTAATGGGTTAATGCAAATAATAAACAGAGAGGTAGGATGAAGGTAGCATAAATAAGTGACACTTGGTGAAGTGGTGAGGATGCAGGTACAGTAGAATGGTGAGGTAGTTGTAGTAATAGTAGAATGGTGAGGGAGGTGTAGGAATAGAATGGTGAGGTAGGTGTAGGAATAGGAGAATGGTGAGTAGGTGTAGGTATAGTAGAATGGTGAGGTAGGTGTAGGTATAGCAGAATGGTGAGATCAGTGTAGGAACAGTAGAATGGTGAGGTAGGTGTAGGTATAGTAGAATGGTGAGGTAGGTGCAGGAATATGAGAATGGTGAGGTAGGTGTAGGAGTAGAATGGTGAGGTAGGTGTAGGAGAATGGTGAGGTAGGTGTAGGGGAATGGTGAGGTAGGTGTAGGTATAGTAACATGGTGAGGTAGGTGTAGAAGAATATTGAGGTAGGTATAGGAATCGGATAATGGTGAGGTAGGTGTAGGAATAGGAGAATGGTGAGGTAGGTGTAGGTATAGTAGAATGGTGAGGTAGGTGTAGGTATAGCAGAATGGTGAGATCAGTGTAGGAACAGTAGAATGGTGAGGTAGGTGAAGGTATAGTAGAATGGTGAGGTAGGTGCAGGAATAGGAGAATGGTGAGGTAGGTGTAGGAGTAGGAGAATTGTGAGGTAGCTGTAGGAGTAGAATGGTGAGGTAGGTGTAGGAGAATGGTGAGGTAGGTGTAGGTATAGTAACATGGTGAGGTAGGTGTAGAAGAATATTGAGGTAGATGTAGGTATCGGATAATGGTGAGGTAGGTGTAGGAATAGGAGAATGGTGAGGTAGGCACAGGAATAGGAGAATGGTGAGGTAGGCGCAGGAATAGGCGAATGGTGAGGTAGGTGTAGGAATAGGAGAATGTCAAGGAAGGTGTTGGTATAGGATAATTGTAAGAAAGGAGTAGGTACGGTAGAATGGTGAGGTAGGTGTAGGTGTAGGTGTAGAATAGTGAGGTATGTGTAGATATACTAGAAAGGTGAGGTAGATGTAGGAATAGAATGGTGTGGTAGGAGAATGGTGAGGTAGGTGTAGGCATAGTAGAATGGTGAGGTAGGTGTAGGCATAGAATGGTGAGGTAGGTGCAGGTATAGGAGAATGGCGAGGTAGGTGTAGGAATAGGAGAATAGTGAGGTAGGTGTAGGCATAGTAGAATGGTGAGGTAGGTGTAAGTAGAGGAGAATGGTGAGATAATGTAGGCATAGTAGAATGGTGAGGTAGGTTTAGGTATAGGATAATCGTTAGGAAGGTGTAGAAGAACGGTGAGGTAAATGTAGGGAAAGAATGATGAGGTAGGTATAGCAAAATGGTCAGGTAGATGTAAGTATAGGATAATCATAATGAAGGTGTATAGAAAAAGGTGAGGTAGGTGTGTGTACAGGAGAAAGAGGTGACAATGGATAATGTGAATGTATGTATAGGGTTATGTGGACAATAGTTGGTATGTTAGGTAAGATTTCATGCAAAATTTGTTAGCAGCAATAGAGACGAAATGATGACTGGTATGATTGACGGTCTACTTCACAGTGTATCAAAAGTAAACTCTACCATAGTGTCCATGAGCACAATGTGGTGCAGCTCACCTGGTTGTCTGTGTTCAGCACAGTAAAGTAGCCCACACACAGGATGACTTCGTGCATCAGCTCCTCGGACTGGGTGTGATGGGAACAGTACCAGATGAGATAGCTCGCGATGTGACGGAACTCAAGGGACATACCTTCTTCCCCAAGGGTTTTCTGAAACAACAAAGACGAGGTGAGATACAAAAGACTTATGTTGGTCATCAGTACCACAGCATCTATACATTGCAGCAGGGTGGCACTGGTCAGATCAACCCTCACTCAATGTGGGAGTTCCATCTTTGTAAGAGATGGATGACCACACAATCTGAATCAGTTCTCCAGATGCAATGTGAAAGGTGTGAATAAGCACCAGGGCCCCATTTTACAAATGTTAGACTGCCATAGCCCCTGTATATATGTGGCCTACCGTACATAAAATCTGAAAGTAACAAACAATGAACCTGAGTTTAGCTCTTTGCAGAAAGACCCATACTGTTCACAAAAACATATGACAACTGACAGCTCTTTTATAACTTGTGCTTTGTGATAATCAGCAATTAATCATAGCTATCAATGAACAGTGATTAAACTTTATCAGGACAGGAATAGCCAAATCTGTGGATATGGATGCTTCCTGGAAAGAAAACTCATTTTTACATCGTGTTTTTCAAAGCCTTAAACAAGATTTTAAACATAAAGTCATTGAGGAAGCCATTAATATTGGTACACATGGAGCTGAAAAATCACTGGTACCTAAGAAAATATGGTTCAAAAGTTTTGACTTAGAAAAAAACAACTCATATATTCCACCAATGTCTGTCCTTTCATACTATTGAAGACAAAGAAAATAACGAATGAAATTTCATATTTCTTACTATCCAGTTGGACGACCATAAGTATAAAGACTGCAAATATGATCAGCTACAGAGATGCCATCTACGTCACTAAACTAAATTTGGACTAGTGGATTAATGCTCAATTCAAACCCTGCACTACATTTGTCATACCTGCAACTAGCTTAGATGTATTACTACATTTGCAAGAATAACCATAGAAAGTCAGGAGTCCAAACACTAAGGAAAATCAGATGACCTCAAAAACATAATCATACATTTTTGGCTTGATTATAACATCCATAATTGGTTAACATTCTGTAGATGGCTGAAACAGTCATAGAGACGTTGACCTTAAACCACTAGGCCCTGATGTTCCCATGAGAAAGGGATGAAAGTCCAGCAACCACCAGTAGAACCAGCTTCAGTCCAGATGGGCCAAGTATGGACATCTCCAAATCAGCATCTCTGTCCTTACTACAACAACATCACATCGTCCCTGTCACAACAGGCTTGCTGGCTAACAACGTTGTTAGCACTAGACACAGCAACCAGCTCAACCTGCTGCCAATTTGTGACACTGATACTCAACTGATTGGCCTAAACTGTTCTGTCCTGTTCCAAATGGAATCTTAATTCAGAAATGCATGTTCCTCATTACTTGTAGCCAGACTGGCTTAGAAGTCATTAACATTGACATTCAAACATGTTGATGCAGAAATAATCATGTTCTTCAAGACAGGTGAGCTTGGCAGTCAAGATGACGATGAGAAATTTCATGATAATCTACATAGGAAATGATATCAATTTGATATTATGACAGAAGAACTGATCAGATACTTAACATATTAAGATATCCCAAGGGTATCTTAACTTATGGCAGGGATAATGTTTAGGCTATGGTGGTCCAGAGCATATGACGAAATTCTCGATTTTCTACATGCGAAATTTTCTTTCCATTTGATAGAAGAATCAGTTATAGTATTACATAAGATATCACAGGAGAATCATCTGGTTCTTCACATACAACAGGAGGAGGAATTTGCTGACAAAGAAGTTGCAAGGGGGAATGTTCTTCTCTCATGTCATGATAAATGTAACAAAAGATTATAAAATATTAAATCATCATGAATGTACAAATGAATAACGACTTTTTTCTTAAGTGTTCAAAAATCAACTTCCCAATTCCAGTGTATAGAAATACTAAGTTGTAGGGACCCGTGAAGATCCGGGGTAGAATAGGTCTTCAGCAACCCATACTTGCCGTAAAAGGCAACTACGCTTGTTGTAAGAAGCGACTAACGGGATCGGGTGGTCAGGCTCGCTGACTTGGTTGATGCATATCATCAATCCCAATTGCATGGGTTGATGCTCATGATGTCAATCACTGGATTGTCTGGTCCAGACTCGATTGTTTACAGACCTCTGTCATATAGCTGGACTATTGTTGAGTGCGGCGTTAAACAACAGAGAAACAAAACAAACAAACCATACCTGAAATATGTGAGCAAGTGGACAGAAGTTTAACAATATTTTAGTTGTATCAGAGCCTGTCAGCTTAATGGGGGAAAGAATGTCCAAAGTAATATCTCAGACGTTAACACTGTGGTAAGGTGCCGATAGACCAAGGTTTAATAATCAAGACAAATGAGGGATTTAAACCAACAGCCAGCACATAGCTACACCTTAGACTACTGGGCCACCCCATGTTTGCTGATGACACTGTGGTAAGCCTGCTCGCCATGGCTGATGACACTGTGGTAAGCCTGCTCGCCATGGCTGATGACACTGTGGTAAGCCTGCTTGCCATGGCTGATGACACTGTGGTAAGCCTGCTCAACATGGCTGATGACACTGTGGTAAGCCTGCTCGCCATGGCTGATGACAATGTGGTTACAGTGTGATACACCTGCTAGACCACGGCCATTGATTAGGGCTGTGTATTGGTAAATGATTTGTATTGGAAAATATTGCAATACAGGTATCTGTATTACGATATGTATTGTGATGTATTGGAAGCTTAAGTGTTTGACAGTGATTGACACTGATTGTACATGCAGATCCTATTTACTACATACTAAAGTAAGTAATACCCAGCATTCTCAGGTGACGCCATGTTGTAGTCATTTGATACAGGGGTGATAACGTGAGAGAAAAATCACTTCAGCATTTCCCCTATTTTGTCAATCTATTTCATTTGAAACATCATTTGTGAATTAATTTCTGTGTAGAGTTTGGGTTAAACAATACAAAAAATAGGAATTTTTTAATATATTTTTACCAAATATACCAGAACACAGAAAAAATATTGCAATATGTAGCGTTTGAAACGCAGTCCTACGAATGACAGTGAGGAATTAGTGAGAACCCATGGCTGGTAACAGTGATAGGTATGCTATCCCATGGGTCATGACACTGTGGTAAGTATGCTATCCCCATGACACTGTGGTAGGTATGCCAGCCCATGGCTTATGACACTGTGGTAGGTGTACTAGCGAATGGCTTATGACACTGTGGTAAGTATGCCAGCCCATGGTTCATGACACTGTGGTAAGTATGCCAGCCATGGTTCATGACACTGTGGTAGGTATGCCAGCCCATGGTTCATGACACTGTGGTAGGTGTACTAGCGAATGGCTTATGACACTGTGGTAAGTATGCCAGCCCATGGTTCATGACACTGTGGTAGGTGTGCTAGCCCATGGCTTATGACACTGTGGTAGGTGTGCCAGCCCATGGCTTATGACACTGTGGTAAGTATGCCAGCCCATGGCTTATGACACTGTGGTAGGTGTGCTAGCCCATGGCTTATGACACTGTGGTAGGTGTGCTAGCCCATGGCTCATGACACTGTGGTAGGTATGCCAGCCCATGGCTTATGACACTGTGGTAGGTGTGCTAGCCCATGGCTTATGACACTGTGGTAAGTATGCCAGCCCATGGCTTATGACACTGTGGTAGGTGTGCTAGCCCATGGCTTATGACACTGTGGTAGGTGTGCTAGCCCATGGCTTATGACACTGTGGTAAGTATGCAAGCCCATGGCTTATGACACTGTGGTATGTGTGCCAGCCCATGGCTTATGACACTGTGGTAGGTGTGCTAGCCCATGGCTTATGACACTGTGAAAGGTGTGCTAGCCCATGGCTTATGACACTGTGGTAGGTGTGCTAGCCCATGGCTCATGACACTGTGGTAGGTGTGCTAGCCCCTGGCTTATGACACTGTGGTAAGTATGCTAGCCCATGGCTTATGACACTGTGGTAGGTATGCCAGCCCATGGCTTATGACACTGTGGTAAGTATGCCAGCCCATGGTTTATGACACTGTGGTAGGTATGCCAGCCCATGGTTTATGACACTGTGGTAGGTGTGCTAGCCTATGGTTCATGACACTGTGGTAGGTGTGCTAGCCCATGGCTTATGACACTGTGGTAGGTGTGCTAGCCCATGGTTCATGACACTGTGGTAGGTGTGCTAGCCCATGGTTCATGACACTGTGGTAGGTGTGCCAGCCCATGGCTTATGACACTGTGGAAGGTGTGCTAGCCCATGGCTTATGACACTGTGGTAGGTGTGCTAGCCCATGGCTTTTGACGCTGTGGTAGGTGTGCTAGCCCATGGCTTATGACACTGTGGTAGGTGTGCTAGCCCATGGCTTATGACACTGTGGTAAGTATGCCAGCCCATGGCTTATGACACTGTGGTAGGTGTGCTAGCCCATGGCTTATGACACTGTGGTAAGTATGCTAGCCCATGGCTAATGACACTGTGGTAGGTTTGCCAGCCCATGGCTCATGACACTGTGGTAGGTATGCCAGCCCATGGCTTATGACACTGTGGTAAGTATGCCAGCCCATGGCTTATGACACTGTGGTAGGTATGCCAGCCCATGGCTTATGACACTGTGGTAGGTATGCCAGCCCATGGCTTATGACACTGTGGTAGGTGTGCTAGCCCATGGCTTATGACACTGTGGTAGGTATGCCAGCCCATGGCTCATGACACTGTGGTAGGTATGCCAGCCCATGGCTTATGACACTGTGGTAGGTATGCCAGCCCATGGCTTATGACACTGTGGTAGGTATGCCAGCCCATGGCTTATGACACTGTGGTAGGTGTGCTAGCCCATGGCTTATGACACTGTGGTAGGTATGCCAGCCCATGGCTTATGACACTGTGGTAGGTGTGCCAGCCCATGGCTTATGACACTGTGGTAGGTGTGCTAGCCCATGGCTCATGACACTGTGGTAGGTATGCCAGCCCATGGCTCATGACACTGTGGTAGGTGTGCCAGCCCATGGCTCATGACACTGTGGTAAGTATGCCAGCCCATGGCTTA